ACTTTAATGCATTTGTGGTACAGCGTATGTACCACTGGGCGTTAAAGGGTTAAACATATTTTTTTTTATAAAATGGCCTGCTCCAGGATCCGTTTTAAATAATGACGTTTTTTGGAGGCCTAAAATGGGCGGAATGGCTGTACCGACAAATTTGCAACATATCAAAAAATCTCTACGTGGTGTATTAGTTTATGGCACATATTAAAAGAAGATTTTTTATTTTGTATTTCAGGTTTAAATTTGTCGGTACAGCTATTCCGCCCATTTTGGGCCTCCAAAAAACGTCATTATTTAAAACGGATCCTGGAGCAGGCCATTTTATAATAAAAAAAAAGTTTAATATATTTTTTGGTACATTTTGAGATACTTAATAAAGTACTGAATACGATAATATAATAGCTTTTAATATACTCTTTGAAAAAATTCCCAAATTTGACCATTCTTTTTTACACGTGCTTGGTGGCCTGATCCCTTAATATCTTAAATTTTTGAAAAGTTAATTAATCATATCTGCAATTTCTATTTTACACCCTAATTTAAAATTAAGTATGTTTACTAAAATTTATAAACATTTTTAACCGTTTCATAATTATATTTAATGTTTATTTTTAACATATTTAATACATCTGCAAAAATGTACCTACAATAGACTTATGGAAATACCCAAATGGGTATTTCGTGTACTACATTTCGCCTCCTGAGCTTTATTAACTTAATTTTAGCGACCCAGTATTGATAGTTACACGTCTGATTTTGACCTAATAAGTATTCCTGCTATGATGTATAAGTGATCTTTTCTAAGAAATTTTTTTGAATTGATGAACATTACTCAAAAACTTCTTTTTGTGATAGTTTTTAAAAACATAATCCGCTGAAGAGAATAAAAATGTCTTATTTAATAAATTATTTAAGCTTTCCATATACATTTACTTACAGTTAAGTCTAGAATACTATTACAAATATTTACCCATTATAATATTAGGTATTAATATTTTATTACCGACAGATTAGCTCAGTCGGATAAATGCCTCGCTCGGCGGACGCTGTAGGACCAATGGTACTTGGTTCGCGCCTATTAGCCTGGGATTTTTCCTGCACATGAGATAAACTGAGCAGGAGATTTGAAAGTCGAGGACTTGGTTGTGTAATATTCGAGACTTCGAATTTATACATCCAAGACTCGGCATCGATAAATTGGTGGCACTGAGTTAAGTTTATCCGTAGTTTCCCTTAACTATGGCCAGAGAGGGCCAGATGAATAACACGCAGAAAAATGGAAAAATGATTTATACAATCAGTGTAGTACTCCTTTATAGAATATTATGTGACAAGTACACACTATAGTATTAGAAGTTTCATATCTGAACACTTTGAGACTCAACACAAGTTATCCCATTCATCAGCTTAAACAAAACTGTTTAATAGTTTAAAAGGGAATAAGAGTATAAAAAAGTAGAATGAGAAATTATTTTCTCATGTAATTGTTAAGGGGTTACGTACAATTAGAGCTTCAAAAAAAGCTGTTCTTTAGGAATTTTTTGTGGCCACACATTAAAATAACACAGCCCCACAAAAAAAAGTGTCGTGCGCGGCAGACCAGACTAGTCATTTCCTATGTATTTTGACGCGCTGAACACGAATCCGAAGTCCGTTTTGCTCCATCACGTCAGGATTTTTTTCTAACCTCAAAAAATCAGTCGGATTTTGAGAGGTAGGCTATTTTTTCTTAAATTAATGGATTTACTTCAAACTTGGTAACTAGGGGTTTTTTGGGTCGCTGATGACGAATTTGAAGTTAGATTTTCAAAATTCAAAATGGCGGATCCAATATGGCGGACGAATTTTTTAAAAATTGATAGATTTGCTTCAAACTTGGTATCTAGGGGTTTTTTGGGTCGCTGATTACGAATTTGAAGTTAGATTTTCAAAATTTAAAATGTTGGCTCCAATATGGGGGACGAATTTTTTAACTATTGATGGATTTGCTTCGAAGTTGGTATCTAGGGGTTTTTTGGGTCACTGATTACGAATCTATAGTCAGACTTTCACATTTTGAACCCCCTGCACGGAAAAAATGTCCGTGCACCGCTTGTCTCACTTCCAGTGCAGTTGATGCAGAGGTTGTCCGATGGAAGTGCGTTTGCTGTCTCTAAAAAGGGCCGTATATGATCCCTTTTTAAAGTGTAAGATTTGTACTGTAATTAAGGACCATGGGTGCACATATAGAGATAAACAGTGCACAGAAATTTTTTCCGTGAGGCTGCTCCGAAAGATTTTTTGGTAGAGTGTTGTGTAGCGGGAACTGTAATTTTTTGTTTTGTAATGAACTACTCTCAAGAACTGACAGTTGGGTCTCATTGCATCATAGAGATCAATTCGGCAAATGCACAAAACTTTTTTCATTGAGGTAATAATGTGACAATAAGATGTAAAACTTAAATAATAAATTTTTAAGCAACGAGATAAAAAAGGAACTTTAATATCCTCTATCCTTCACTATCTTATTCCTTAAAAATACATTGTTTACCTTGTACGCTTTGCACTTTTATTGTGTTTCAGCACAATACTAATCCTGCTGCTTCGATAAATGTAGTAGGCGATGACAACTGCCCCGAAAGGGGATGTGTAGAATGATTCGCTTCCTGTTTATCGAAGTAACGAAGCCAGCGTAGGCGCGCTGCCCTGCAGGGGGACGTTAGGGTGTGAGGATGATGCCGTAGTGTGTCCGAAGACGAGTTGACTTTGTCCTCGTCAAAGTCGGAGAGCTCTCATACTTAGGCCCGGGGAGGTATGAGGGTTATCACCCCTAGGACGGCGGACTCACCTGCGATCGGGCCAGGATCCCTAACGTGCAGGTTTTCACATAAATCATGGCTTCTCAAAATCAAAACAATAATAAAACTCCAAAGGCTTCAAAACTTAATTTTGCAGTAACAACGTCGGAACACTTATGCGACAGCAATGCAGATGCATTTTGTTACATATGTGGACAATTCGATGTCCCCAAAAATCGTAAATCAATAAATGAAAATATCAAACAGATCGACAAAGATTATTTTGATCTTGAGATAACCAATCAGGATAAAAATTTTGTTCCACACAAAATTTGCAGTTCCTGTTACACAATGTTAACTCGTTGGAATCATAAAAAAGAGGATAAACTAAAGTTTATAAAGCCAACATTGTGGGAAAAACCATTAAATCAAAAAGATTGTTATTTTTGCAACACCAATGTGCAAGGATATAATAACAAAAATAAAAAGAACATATTGTATGCTAATGTCCCCACTGTAAAAAAACCAGAAATTTCATGCAATCCACCTTCTTCTCCCAAAACCTTGGAAATTGACAGTTCAACTGAAGATGTTCTAGATTTTGAAAATAAAGACATGAGAACCGATGATGATGACGACTATTACCTTCCGTATAATGAACAGGAGATAAAGATTCGACAAACGTTTAACCAAGAAGAACTTAGCAATCTCATTAGAGATTTAAAATTGCCGAAGGATTGTGCAGAACACCTAGCATCAGTGTTGAAGAAGAAAAACTTGTTATCAAAAGGCACAACAGCTAGCTTTTATCGAGACAGAGAAAAATAATTCCGACAATATTTTACAAAAGATGAAAATCCGTCGTTGGTATATTGCTCAGATGTTGTCGGACTCATGAATAAATTAAAAACAAATATATACAAAGATGAAAATTGGAGACTATTTATTGACTCTTCGAAAACAAGTTTAAAAGTAGTACTACTACATAATACTAATATTTATGCTCCAATTCCAATAGCGCATTCAACGGAAATGAAAGAAAACTATGAATATATGAAACTAGTTTTGGATAAAATTAGATACCGAGAACACAACTGGCAAATTTGTGGAGATTTTAAGATTTTAAGCATACTACTTGGACAACAATCAGGTTTTACAAAAACACCATGTTTCCTGTGTTTGTGGGACAGTAGAGATCAAGCAAATCACTACATTAAAAAACAATGGCCAAAAAGAAATTCTTTCGAACCAGGTTCAAAAAATATAATAAAAAATCCCCTAATCGACCCTTCAAAGGTGATAATTCCATCCTTACACACGAAACTAGGAGGAATGAAACAATTTGTCAAAGCCTTAGATAAAGAAGGAAACTGTTTTAAATACCTGGAACAAAAGTTTCCAGAAAAATCTGATGCGAAACTAAAAGAAGGGGTTTTCAACGGACCACAAATTCGCAAATTGTTAAAAGATGATCAATTTATCACCAAGATAAATAAAAAGAAGAAAGCCGCATGGCTTAGTTTCAAAGCAGTTGTCGAAAATTTTCTGGGTAATCACAAGAGTGAAAATTGGGAGCAAATAGTTAGTGATATGATTAAAAATTTTGGTAAGTTAGGATGCTTAATGAGCATAAAGATGCATTACTTAGACTCGCATCGGGATCGATTCCCTGAAAATTTGGGAGATTACAGTGAAGAACAAGGAGAACGATTCCATCAAGATCTTAAAGAATTTGAGCCGTCTGCAGCGAGAAAACGTGAGTAAAGTTCAACTAAAAGGGATGTTTAATTTATATATCTAACTTTAAATTAATAAAAATGTTTTTAAAAACATTTTCATTAATCTTGTACGTTTTTTCTTTGAGACTTGTGAGTGGAACCTAACCTCTCCTGTCAAATTCATGAGTGAAAATTGTTTTCTATGTAAAGTTTAACTTAAAGTGATTTTTTTAAATTATAAATCTAAACCTAATAATGAATATTTTTTAAATATTTGTTTATTATAAAATATTAAAGTTAATCTTAACGTCACCAGTCAAGGTTTTATGAAATATCAGGCCTTATTTTATCCTAAAACTTATAGTTATTTTTAGTTTATCCAATGTTATAACTTAACGAAATTTTTTTTCAACTTTACAATCAGTATATAGATTTAAACAATCATTTTTTTATGTTTATATATTATTGTTATAATTTTCAGAATCAAATAAATGCTGTTTTGGGGAGAATGAGAAATGAAGCGTACGATCCAGAACGACCAGATCTGTTTATAAGAGCGCCAAGGAGGTGGGATCAACCCCCTGCAGTCGAAAATTTAGGAGAAATTCCGAATGATTTGATAAACGAGGTTCTGGGAATGGATGCTTATTTGATTGAGGATATCATCCTAGATGATATCCCAAGGATGATATCCTAATTCCAATGCAGGAATTAGTGCAGGAGGCTTTAATAGTGCCAATTCAGCCCGTTCCACTCGTCAACGATTCGAATGAAGCTGTAGGCAATTACATCCGCACCCACACTCGGTCACAGTTGATTATGAGAACACCACCGGTTGGTCTAATAGATAAACCATTACCTGTGCTGGAAGAAGTACCGTTACCAGCGCCCCGACGCCGCATTGCACACATTCCGCGGCAATTGCCACCAGTGTCAGCAGCAGTGCCAGCACCAGTACGAGCACCGCGGCAATTGCCACCAGTGTCAGCAGCAGTGCCAGCACCGAGAGCTACTCCAGCACCAGTACGAGCACCGCGGCAATTGCCACCAGTGCCAGCACCGCGACAATTGCCACCAGTGTCAGCAGCAGTGCCAGCACCGAGAGCTACTCCAGCACTAGTACGAGCACCGCGGCAATTGCCACCAGTGCCAGCACCGCGGCGTGCGATTCAAATTAATGCTCGTCCCCTTCGAGGAAATAGAGGTCGTCGTTTGTCAAAGGCAAATTTGGCCTTTGCAACTGCATCCTCGAAAAAGAGGCGTTAATTTTTTTTTCATTATTTTTATTTTTTTCTGTTTCATTTTTTACATTTTTTTCATTATTTTTCAGAACACGTTATGTTTTTACTTTTGGATTTAAAAAAATTCCTTTTTTTATTTTCGACTTTGCTTAAAGTAAGTTACTCACCTGAGAGAAAATTTTGTAAATAACTAATAACGTTAATGTACTTTTTGATTTTTGTAGTTTTTAATTCATTTTTGTTACCTTTTTCTTTTTTTTTGCTTGACACTTTCATTATTTCCAATATTTATATATTTTAGTTAATATTTTTATATTTATTACTGTGTGGTAATGTACATTAACGTTATTAGTTATTTACCATAATCTTTTATTTTTTGTTTCATTTTTTTCATTATTTTTTAGAAAACCTTATGGTTTTTTTAAAAAAAATTTTTATTTAATATAATCTACTTGACTTAATTAAGGTAAGTTAAAAAATTTCTAATAATTTTTTAGTATTTATATGTTATATATTATACTGTTTATAGTTTATTTAATATTAATTACTACATATTATTCATAACTATTTTATGATATTATGTGAATAATTTAGTGAATCCAAATTAGTTATGAATTAATTTATTATAAATATAAAAAAAATATTTCAATTTAAAATTCGCGCGTTACCGGCGGTGAGCTTGTTATCAGCGGTAAGCACGTTGCCGGCGGTGAGCTCACAGTAGTTCAAGTCAACCGCCACACGTAGCAGAGTGGTAAGCGCGCGTAGTTGGGTAACCGCTTGGTGGAGGGAGAGACCTACGAGTATATAATATATAATATATTTTTCAGTTGCAGCATGAAGGTAACGAGGTGCCATTCCCCGCAACTCCTCCAGGGCCGACCCAGTCACCGTGGCACCAGGTGGTGAATCCGCTACCACCTTCGGCGGAAGTCGGGACGCCACCGCAGTCACCTCTGCATGAGATGGCACTCCAGTGGCGTCCATTTTCACCGCCGTGGATGCTGGTGGAGAGGCCGCCGACACCACTGCCCAGGTCACCGACACCTCAACCTAGGATGGAATCGGAGTCTCCCCCACCTTTTATTCAGTTGGGGCCTCCGAGCCCAGGGTAGAGGAAAGAGAGCCGGCGGGACCTCCACCAGAGGCGCAGCCACCGCCTGCTCACGGTCGGCGTCGCTGCCATCGACGGCGGCGCGTAATTTTAAATTTAAATTTTATTTTTAAAAATCAATAAATTTTTATTTTTTTTTGTAAATTAGTATATTTATTTTGCGGATCCTGTATAGACATGATTACGTCTGCGTTAGAGTAAGAGTATTGCGCATGCGTGAATAGGTGGGGAAAAATTTAAGAGTGGGGATGCGTGATAGGTTGGAGTGGGGGTAAATGGTCTAGTGCGCATGCGTGAAAGGTAGGAGTGAGGATTTCGGGGTATATATTCAGGGATTTTGGTGAGTTTAGTCAATAGCTGTTTTGTTCACAGGTTCAGCGGTTCCAACAGCAGCAGCAGCAGCAGATTCCCATTGCCACGACTTACTTTTTTTTTGTTACATTTATTGTTATATTTACCGTCTTTTTTTGTTATTTATATTTACTGTGTTCTGTGTTTATTGCATTTACTTTGTATTGATTTTTAGTTTAAGTGCTTTTAGTTTGTAAGTTCGTTTTGTTTAGTATAAGAATTTTAGTTTGTAAGTGTGTTCTTTTGTTAGCTTGTAAGTGTGTTCTTTTTTAGTTTGTAAGTGTGTTAGCTTGTAAGTGTTTAATTTTAGGTGCAGAGATGAAGCGTAAGGCGAAGACCACCGATGGACCACGTAAGCATCCAAATTACGGTACAATCCTAGATGAGAGTGACGTAACTGTTACTCTCATCAAGGAGGCTCTAGAGTTGATTCCTCTTTTAGACGACGTCAATTTAAGACGTTCATTCGTTGAGATGGGTTGTAGAATGCTCACCACAACATGAGAACGTGTTATCGATCATTCTTAAATCGATGTACTTCACACATCAAAAGCAAAGATGTGTGAGCATTCTACAATCCATCATTAGATTTCGCGCGTTGTTCGAGTCTCATATTGTAGACGGTGCTGGAATTAGTGATCCAGACATAAATAAACGTGTCAAATGGGAAGAGTGTGAGAGTGCCTTTGCATGTAGATTGTACACTAATATGATCCTGAATCTTGTACATATTGATATTAGCGCATTCTTGGACGATGCGTCCACGCTTTTCCAAGATCACATTAGAAGTGCCTTAAATAAGAATGGGCCTATTCATGTGTATGGTGTTCTCATCGCACACTTCAAAAGAGTTGAAAATGATGTAGAAGTTGTTAAACCTATTCCTTTCGGGTGTAAGGCTAAGAGTATTTTCCTCACCACGCTGTTAGATGATTGGTTTGATCAGAATATCAAACATCCAATTTTGCATAGTGTTGAAGAGTTTTACTCGAAAGGTTCGAATTGGAACCTTCAATCGATTATAAGGCTGGAAATCAATGTAAATAAGTATAATCTAATGCGTGCAAACTCTTACATCGGTTTACCTCCACAAATAAAAAAACAAGCATGCATGCATTAATGTTGAAAACCAAGATAACCAATGTTTCAAGTGGGCAGTATTGTCAGCCCTACATCCAAATGTATCACATTCTGAGCGCGTTTCTAGTTATAAAGAATTCAAAGATCAATTGAACTTTGAGGGAATCGAATTCCCAGTCACGCTTAAAAATATCCCGAAATTTGAAAAGCTTAATGATGTTCCGATTAATGTCTACGGTCTATCAAAGAGCTATGGTAACTTTACGGTACACCTTCTCCATCTCACTGCGGAAAAAAGAGATAAGCATGTAAATCTCTTGTATGTTGCCGACATGTATGCGGCTGAAAATAATGATGATAATACTGTATTGTATGACAACGATGATTTTATGAACTTCCATTATGTATGGATTAAAGATTTGTCACGCGTAGTGTCTAAACAATTATCGAAGAAGTCACATCGAAAACATATCTGTGACCGCTGCTTACACTACTTTTCAGGTGTTGAAAGATTGAACGCACACATTGAAAATTGTAAAAAAATGAATGAGTGTAAAATTAAATTACCGACGCCTGACAAGAGTCTGATCACATTTAAAAATTTTAAGAACAAAGAAAAGGTGCCATATGTAATTTACGCCAACTGTGAAAGTCTACTTCTTCCAGCGGATGAAGATGTAGACAATTTAATAAGAGGTGTATTCCACGTCAGTTCAACACAAAAAATTTTATTAGGTTTTGGGATTCGGTTGAAATTGGGTAGATTATATCCTCTGGTTGTAGTAAATAAAATCCCCAAGCGATTTTGAAAAATTTCAAAAATTGGCGGACATATTGGATTTTTAATTTTTTTGTACTTTTTTTTTGAAAAATATATATCTCTGCTTCTTCTTAACGGATTTTAGTTTATGACCTCTTAAATTGTTCGTATTGAAATATACTTTTATTTAAAAAATTAAAATTAAAAAAATTATTTAAATTTTTTGTTTAAAAAATTAATTTAATTTTTTGAAAAGCCATAGAAAAAATATGCTACCTTCAATTTTGATCATTTTTTTACCATTTGCAGCCATAAATGTGTTGAATTTGTCCTAAAATTTTCATCGTGGGACAGCCAGTAGTTTTTGAGAAAAAAAATAAAACGTAAATCCTCGCATAGCGCTGTAGCGCTCAGTTTTAATGCCGCACGATTGAAAATGGAACTTTAATGAAAGTACGAGTTTTTATTAACCCTAGAACTAAAATATGATTTTTTTATGGACTAAGGAAAAACTGGGGTGGTTTGGTACCCCAGATTTGAAACAATTGTAAAAGGTTACCTTTTTTGTAATTTTTTTAATTTGTCAACAATGTGGCTAATTTGAAAAAATTAAACGGATTTTAAAAGGTAAATAAAGAAAAACTGTAAGACCTCGGAAACTTCCCCGTAAAAAATAGAAACCTCCTTTGTAATAAATAATTTTTATTCTATTTTAAAATCATTTAACATTTGTATATATTGTAAATAATATGTAAATTTTCAAGTTGCCTTAATCAAAATAAAATTGTCTCTATTTACCTTTTAAAATCCGTTTAATTTTTTCAAATTAGCCACATTGTTGACAAATTAAAAAAATTACAAAAAAGGTAACCTTTTACAATTGTTTCAAATCTGGGGTACCAAACCACCTCAGTTTTTCGTTAGTCTATAAAAAAATCATATTTTAGTTCTAGGGTTAATAAAAACTCGTACTTTCATTAAAATTCCATTTACAATCGTGCGGCATTAAAACTGAGCGCTACAGCGCTATGCGAGGATTTACGTCTTATTTTTTTTCTCAAAAACTACTGGCTGTCCCACGATGAAAATTTCAGGACAAGTTCAACACATTTATGGCTACAAATGGTAAAAAAATGATCAAAATTGAAGGTAGCATATTTTTTCTATGGCTTTTCAAAAAATTAAATTAATTTTTTAAACAAAAAATTTAAATAATTTTTTTAATTTTAATTTTTTTAATAAAAGTATATTTCAATACGAACAATTTAAGAGGTCATAAACTAAAATCCGTTAAGAAGAAGCAGAGATATATATTTTTCAAAAAAAAAGTACAAAAAAATTAAAAATCCAATATGTCCGCCAATTTTTAAAATTTTTTTAAATCGCTTAGGGATTTTATTTACTACCACCAGAGGATATAATCTACCTAATTTCAACCGAATCCCAAAACCTAATAAAATTTTTTGTGTTGAACTGACGTGGAATACATCAAGACTGAAGTCTTCCAGCGTCACAAATTGTTAAGCATCGGCTAGTATATAAAATGTAGCTACGACAAATCATTATGTAAATATGTGCCGTGTCCGAAAAATGAATCTGACCCTGATAAATGGTTTGCTGAGGAGTTAAAGCAGATTGCAAAGAAAATGAATAAAGTTTTTAAAAATCCGTTACCGATGAATGCATTAACTCCTCAAGAAATCAATGATTTTAAGCGAGCGACATTCTGTAACATTTGTCATCAGAAAATACCGGCAAGCGAAAAGAAAGTCCGCGATCACTGTCACCTTACTGGCAAATATAGGGGTGCTGCTCATGAATCATGCAATTTAAACTATCAAGATTGTCAAAGATCCCCGTAGTCTTCCACAATTTAAGCGGTTACGACGCCCATTTTATAATTCACACGATCTCGACGAGCTTTAAAGGGAAAATTGACCTCCTCCCCATTAACAAAGAGAAGTATATCTCTTTTACTAAACATGTTAATGGGAGTGAGGTCAAATTCAGATTCATTGACTCATTGCGATTCATGGCAGCATCCCTGGAAAAACTCGCATCGTACTTAGACGAGTATAAAATTGTAAACTCCGTTTTTGCCAGTACGGTGACAGATCCGGATAAAATCAAACTATTGACGCGCAAGGGTGTTTTCCCCTATGAGTACTTTGACTCAAAAAGCAAGCTCGATGAAACTGAATTACCCCCCATAGAGAAATTTTATAGTACGCTTTATGATGCCGGTATTTCTGATAATGAGTATACACATGCGCAGAATGTATGGACCGAGTTTAACTGTCAGAATCTCTACGACTATGTACATTTATACATGAAAACAGATGTATTGTTACTTGCAGATGTCTTTGAAAATTTTGGAGAAGAATGTGTTAAAGCGTACGGGTTAGATCCTGCTCACTATTATACGACCCCCGGTTTAACTTGGGATGCTATACTCAAGTACACGAGCATAGGATTGCAACTAATAACCGATATCGATATGATTATGTTTGTTGAGTCTGGTATTAGAGGTGGCATAAGTCAATGCTGCAACCGATATACTATAGCGAATAATCCATATATGGAAAATATCGATGATAGCAAAGATACAAGCTACATCATGTACTTTGACGTTAACAATTTATATGGCTGGGCAATGGCTCAAGCGCTCCCTTATGGCGGCTTCAAATGGGTTGAAAATGTCGACAACTCTTTCAATTTTAATGTATCCGACGATTCACCTGTTAGATACATACTCGAAGTTGACTTGGAGTAGCCTGAAAGTATTCACGATACCCACAAAGACATGCCATTTTGCGCAGAAAATGCAAAACCTCCCCTATCGAAACAGGAGAAATTATTAAAAACTCTCCTACCCAAAGAAAAATATGTGATCCACTATCGAACTCTCAAACAAGTTGTTGCTAATGGCATTAAACTTGTAAAAATTCACCGAGTCTTACAGTTTAAGCAATCAACTTGGCTTAAACCGTACATCGACTATAATACGATGATGCGAACCAACGCCAAAAATGAGTTCGAGGAAAATTTGTTCAAGCTCATGAACAACGCTGTGTACGGCAAAACAATTAAAAATGTCTGTAAACATGTCGACATTAAGCTTGTCACCTAATGGTTTGGCCGCTATGGAGCTGAAGCCCTAATCTCTCGCCCGATTTTCCATAGTCGAGCGATATTCGACGAAAATCTGGTTGCCATTAAACTGCGTAAAACCGAGGTACTACTCAACAAACCGATCTATGTGGGGTTAAGTGTGCTCGATGTTTCCAAAACGCTTATTTACTATTTTCACTACGGGTATATGTTAAAAAAATACGGCGACAATTGTAAACTGATGTATACCGATACAGACAGTCTAATCTACGAAATTAAATGTAAAGATGTCTACAATGACATGAAAAATGACATTCAAAAGTTTGATACGTCAGACTATCCCGCAAACAACGTGTACGGCATTCCGCAAGCCAACAAAAAGATTCTGGGTCTAATGAAAGATGAATGTAACGGAAAGATCATTACCGAATTTGTTGGCTTGCGGAGTAAGATGTACAGCGTACGTGTTGAAGGTCAAGACTTTATTAAAAAAGCCAAAGGCATTAAATCCAACGTTGTGAAAAAATCGATTCATTTTGATGATTATGTAAAA